TTTCAATTTGAATTTTCAATTGGTATGTTTCACAACAATACAAGAATGAAGGAGGATATGTAAGTAAACTTATAGCTTATGCTAATTCTCTTCTATCAATTAGAATCCACAATATAGAGATCTGAATAATTTGATATTTAAATGAGCTGATTTATCACAGAAAACAAATAAAAAGTAAATGAAAGATTAAAACAAACGAATAGATAAATATTTATGCTAAATAGCTTTATTTCACTGCATACCAGATGTGCTATAACTAAGAGAGAGAGAAAACAGAGAGAGGGGATGTAGAGAATTTGGGGGCGGAGTGGAAGGTAGGGGTCGGTGGCGAGTGAGAGTGCGACATGCTTACATGTGTATAGAAAAATGCATCTCTGATTTGTAAAATATAAGTAATTTAACAAGTCATCAAGCTTTTTTCTTTTAGAGCTTGTACTGTGAATTTCAATGATGTTGTCACCAGAATCAATATGATACAGCTGAAAACGTGATTTGCTTAATGGTCAACCCAAAAGAGTAATTATAATATTTACTTTCGAATGAAGACAATACACTTCTCAATACAAATCTAAAAATAGAGTAGTGACTAATGCGTCATACATCTATTTCGTCCTTCTAGGACTCGTCAATGATGCCCAGCGCCTAAAGTGTTGAAAACTAGGAGCCGATGAGAAAAATCAAAATTGTCTGAAAGAATGTAAGAATCTTGACGGGGAAATGTAGTGTCAGTATTTAGTATCAGTAAATAACAGCACAGTGTTTAGGTATCATATTTATATTTTGATTACTTTACAAAGACATACAACTGACCAGGAAAGTCAAACTTTGACCCCTTCCTGTCCGGCCTTGAACTCACGATCTACAACTCCAAATCAGTTTGCTAAGAATAACATTTAATGTGTTAACTTTTATGCATTTGTTTTTTTTCTGTAAAATTACAGGATGCAGACTAAACCTGTATCACTCACATCTTTTTATCTCCCAATTTTGTTGAAAAGTGTTTGTAATATAGCGATTTGATTAGTGAGATGTCATGAGATGTCTTGAGATGTCATGAGATGTCTTGAGATGTCTTGAGATGCATACAAACTACGGTGTGGAATAGTCCGGTTGTTTTTTCCTATATCGGTCGACTTCAAACCGACATTAAAACTTCCATAGAAAATCAGAAGAAATCCCATCAAGAAAACTTGAATAAATATTCGGTAGAAATTTCCAAATGCATTTTTTTCGTTATTGGTTAAAATTTTGAATGTTAATATCAACATTAAGAAAAAAAGTTAGCAATATGTCATTATTTATTTCGTCAAACATCGGTTTTCATATCTAAACCTTTCATATTAATACTCATTTTAATGAAATACGTTACAATAAAAATGATGAATTATATCTAAAACTGAAGTTCATTTGCCTAGATTTTTATTTGGTTATGCTGTATGTAATTCTAAATTTGAATTGTTCTTTTGGTAAATTTAGATCTAATTTGCATAATTATGAGAGCAGATCTATATCACTATGTACGTAATTCTGTATTTTCATTTTTATTAAATTCCGTGGTTTATTATCATTATTATCAGAGCAGACTGGGGATTCGAATAACAAATGCTGCTCACAATTTATCAGTTCGAGGAAATATAAATTTGTAGAATATGAGAATACACAAGAAATCAAAGAAAATCAATCCCACACGAAAATAAAAAATTCTGCAGTATGCAATATTTGAGGTTGAAAAGTGGTAAATGTATTCACGCATCTCTTGGCATATATGTAGAATAATATTCTAAAGCAACAAATGGGTACGTAACATAATAACATGTAAATCCTATTCGTGAGACGCTGTTGTTTATGTGAAACAGTAAACCACACACACTGACTAAAGTCGACATATTTACAACAGAATTCTACAAGTCATCAGATTGTTGTCAACAGAAGTATATGTTTATCATATTCTCCTATTTCCCGGACATAATAACGTTTGTCAAACCAAAAATGATGAAGTGGCATGAATCGTTAAGTCGTATGGCCCATATAACTTTTAGTAAACATGTGAAATCTGGTGTGTTGCTACTTAAAAGTATCAAGAACACAACTTCCGTCACTTTCACCTAAAAAAAAAAAGAAAAACATTTTATCGATGTACAAAAGACGCGATATACTGATTTATCTTGATTTCAACACATTTGATTTCGGTGACTTTGAAAGTGTCAAAGTTATTTATTTTAACGAAATTGGTAGAGGGCCCGTTTAGAATATAATACATTTGATCCCCGTGGCCTTTGAAAGTGCATCAACATAGCCCTCTATCGCAACGTGCTACTAACCAGATAACAGTACCTTTGGCGTCTAACGGAAAAGTCGAAACTTTGCGATGGACAGAGAGACAACACGTTGTTAGATAAATAAATACGAGCAAATGAATAGATAAATCAATCATTTATTTAAGTTTTATTTAGAGAATGCAGATACTTTATTATAGATATTTTGCCTTTCTATGTTATTTAGGTTTTCGTCTTTCCCCTATTTTTTTAGACTGCAAGTGTCATCGCGATGACTGTTTCTTATTTGTTATCGACTTCAGTGTTACCTAAACAAAGCTAGTACATAGAGAGACTAATGTGTTGAAGAAGGACACGTTTGCTTAAAAGTGGTACAACTTTCTTTTTCTAAAAACAGAACAAAGTCTTTCCTTTCCAAAGATGTACAATTCATCAAATCAATTATCTACCCAGTTCACAGTGTGGTCATCTCAACCCCATAGACACATTTTCTGACTGAATGTCATATATGTTTAAACATCAATGCAGTAGATACCTGCCAACCATAGGGAAATAACTTTCAAAGAAATACAAGGGAATGGGGCCGAGACGTACCTTTAACTCGAAGTCTAATAAATAAATACCTGTTCTAGGGAGGAGAGAGGCGTCTGTCAGACATCATATTGATGTCAGATCCGTCCACTGGTGTCTTTTATAGCTTGGTGATTACCATACATTACTGTAAGTGACAGGAAACATATAGCTGTTGTCATGGCGATGAGGTCTCGCGTGCTAAAATATACAAAGCCTTTTGTATACAAATTAATTATGATATTCATCATAAAACTTGGAAACCAGACAGAAAATTGTAAGTGCGCATGCGTTGTTGTACTTTTGGTGATAAAGTTTAAGGAGAGTAAAACGCAGACGGGAATGTTGTCTGTTCTGACTTCGTTTTTCTCTTTTCATTTCTAGACGTACAGGAACATGGATGGGTACATCCAAACTCAAAATACGAGGTCTGTCTGTAGATATCTAGGAAAAAACTCGTGTTTGATTTTGGATCAAAATTCATGTCTCTAGAAGTAAAGGTCAAAGTTCGGATTTGTGGATATATAGGTCAAAGTTTACATTTGTAGATCTCGAGGTCACAGACTCACTCCGTAAGTTCAAATCGATCTGTTTTTTACGTTTCGAATTCGGTCTAACTTGATGCAGACTATATATATATAATGACTTATTACCTTAAAAAGAAAACAATCTATCTTGGCCTATATTATGACGTATAAGGAGAGAAATAGCGAGAAGGATCTAATTTGTCATACATTTTTTGGAACTTCTTCATTTAGTGTTTTAGCAATGACTCTAAAATAACATTAAAAATACATTATCCATCATGATAAACCACTAACAGTCACTTCACGAGGTAAAATTGTATACTTAACTCACACAGTTTGATTTAAAATGTCCATTAATTTTTTCTTCAAACTTCTTCCAAACTGTAGTTCAGCTTATAAATTTGGAGATCAAAATGTTGAGAAAAACATACTCAAGTTTATGTAAATTGACCATGAAAAATTTATGGTTAGAAAAGAAAAGAAAACAGAAGAATAAAAGACACACGTTTCTTATTTCTATTTTAAAAACAATACTGTTGTTATTGGTCAGATAATCGATAAAGTCATCTTCTTGTTTCATTTGGACAGAGTCTCGCCAAAAAAGTTCAACACTCAATTTCTTACATTATTCCCTATATCTATGACGTCATAACATCCCATGTGCGTTTACTTTATCATGAATGACATAGCTGATGGTAAACATGCGACGCCAACTAAAATATTGGTACGATATAACCTTTACGGGCTAAAATTCTACAAAAGATTTTCTTTCCATTTAATTGCTATCTATCATAATTTGCATGTTCAAATATATACTCAATTGTTTGACCAATTTCGAGGAGTAAAGTCCTAAAATCATAATTTTAGAATATTCATAGATAATGATTTACGCGTTTCGTTTCGTTACTTTTTCTGTTGTGTTGACAAGCACCTGCCACAGAATTCTTTGAATTTCAGGGTACGAACCCTTGGATTTTAACGATAGGTGTGTACAATTCCTGACGTTCCACGATACACACCTTCATGTACTTAAAGATTCTCGGAGTAGTCAGGTCCTTTTTTCTGTGAAAGAAAAACAGATTTTAACGATTTTTTTTACACGAAATGATAACCCACTCTAGAGTAAGCAAAGGCAGCCATGTTTGTATTGTGGAATTTAATACGTTGACAAGGTTACAAGCGATGATATACTCGGTAAGACAGCGATTAAAATGTCTAGGAACAAGTACATAAAGAGTAAATTTGACTTCATCTCTGAAAAGCAGTATAAGCACATATATATAATGAACATTTGTCCTAAAATTTTCTGAAATAATATCTGTGGTGTAAGTTTGGGTGGGGAAGTCACGATAAGGTCACTCTCCAATCTGACCTGCACGCGCGGTCAGAGGCTGTAAACATGAGTCTTATAGTGTAAATTGATTTATCTTTCCTTTAATAAAGGGAAATAATTGATTAGCTCTCGTAGTCAGTTTTTGCTCAGACGGTGGGAGTGTACAGGTGTGTCACAAAATCAGAATATCTCTGTCCATGTGTATGGCTTATTGTTGAGGGGAAACATTACTGTTACGTGTGATCGGTTGAATGATATCTATTGCCGGTTGTGTTTACAGGTTGGCCGATTGATATGGCAGGAAAGCGGCGAAATCAGAGAGGTCTTCAGGTAAATACCAAGAGACGTAATTGAATAAAATTGTTCATTCCTACTTTAGACCTGACTAACAGTTTGCAGGTACAAACGTTATCTACTTCCGGTTTAAAGATTTTGATGTATAATACTCGTATTTGCCGACTTTTCTTGAACGTTAAAACTGCTTCATACCGTCTCGTATATGAAAATTATCTTTTTAATTAAACTGGTAGAGCATACGTCCAGTTAGACTCACATGTGTCGGTCATAACTTGATTTCTCTTGGGTCGGCTTCTGTATACTAAATAATGTGGTTACGGGTTCGAATCTAAGTGGAAGCATGTTTTTTCTTTCAAGATTCTGAACGACCTTGTCAGTGGATTTATCACTTCAATGAATATTGTAAGAATTCAGTCTTGTAAAAGGATCCTGTCTAGAGAGACTAATGTTTATCAGACCTGTTTTGCCATGTACAGGCAATAAGCTCATTGCATGATACATTAAAATCTAAAGCGGGTTTTCATTTCATATGAGGTTTTACGAAACAAGTCTTGCAGGTTATAGATTAAAACGTCGAGACGAGTCTCGTATGAAACGAAAACATATTTAAGACATGTTTTATGATAAAAAAGTAACATTTGGCAGATTTTAAGTAAGAGATATTGAGGTCAAAATCAAAAGGAGGCAGCTATTTTGTTACACTGTTGTCAGTTTTTGATGTAACGTCATTGTTCCTATTATGACATCGTATTTGATCATTGACTGGAGCACCAAATGATAAACACTACAGAGAACATATTATTCTAGAGACATATACGCAAAACTATTACATGATGGAATTCTTTTGTTATATAAACGCAGCGACTAATTAAAGATTCTCTTTCTCCACAGACCTTGGCCCAGGGGTCTTTGGCCCTCGCCCGGACACACGCAACGGAAGCAGCATTGCAGAACATTGAAAGCCAGCTGGAGAAAGAGCTTGAAAGAGAAGAAGCTGCATCCAAGTCAGCTAAGCCTCTTGCCAGGTAAAGGTCACTTAGGTCAACTTCATGAGAGGTCATATAGATCAGAGGTCAAATACTGTAAAACAGCAAGAGGTCACGGATATATATATAGTAACCAATGCAAAGGAGACAAATGTCGAATTGTGGGTAATGTTAACTCAAATTAACGTAAAATAACTTAGAGTATAAATTAGGAGAGGTCGAAGTATATTATCAAATCTTTTACAACAGCACCAGCCAGCAGCAAATACTAGAAAGATCGTACGGATCAGAAATCAAATCTGGTGAAGGATTTTAAAATGCCGCTTCAATCATGATTACACAGCAGGTGACACATATTTCACATTCAGTTGTATACCTTGAACACTTACTGTCGCCCAAGTTTGATTCGAGTTTCGTTTTTTATACCACGTCCCATTACGCCTGGGTATCTCAAAAACTCAATCATCCCCCATACCCTGCACCACAATTCCACCCACAGAGATACCAAGCTATTTCTTGATTTCCCTCTCCCCTTTCTCTTGGCCCACATGGGCTACTGACAAAGTGAAACGAGGGGCAGTAACTCTTGGCGATCAGAATGCCTGTCCTTGTGTAAACCTTTCTTACGACATACCCCACTCATACTTGCAGTCATAATGTGTAGCTCACATCCATTTCGCTGTACTTTGTGTGGCTTTCATTTCCTTCTTCTCCTCCTTCTGCTCTCTGAGCTAGCAGTCGTTTAGAACGTTGGCCAACGTAATATCCGGTAAGGATCCGATGGTTGATACTGCCTATACCCATGGCGGTTTGTGCTTCTCATGGAGCTGAGAAACGCCCGGCCGATGCTTAGTTGATTATGATCGTGACCAAGACAGCTAATTGCTCTGAACGGCATGTGACGTTTATCTCGTATATTTTTCATTGAAGTAGTCAACAGTTACTGTTCCATCCTCAAAACGAAACTGACTGTTAACGGTACCATAAAACAAACAAGCAACCCCTACACCTCCTACCACTCCTCCTCCTCCTCTTCCTCCTCCTCTTTCTATCATTACATAATCGTTCCATCTCGTTTACCAATGCTATCAATTTTGTTTCTGTTTCTGTAGTAATGATCCTTATCCAAGAAAAGATTTGACTTTCATAAAATGATTTTAACAGAGTTCGTCACAAAGGTCAGAAGTTCCTACACAGTAAACACGTGTTGTTGATCATTGTGGGCCTAAACGTCATCGATTGCATCCTCGTGCTGGGAGAACTGATCCTCGACGTCCATTTCATTGTGGGTAAGTGACGTCAAAACTTCCGGGGTTTTCGGTACACCGATTCATCGAGACATATTAAAAATATCTTTCATAGAAGACGTGTTATGATATAAGTGAGCCGCTCCACCCCAGCTAAGAAACACCTTCAACATCAGATTAAACGCCTCAGCTGCATGGATAAGTCCCAACACAGAACTTTTCGCCTGTCTCCGCGAGCCAAGATGACATATAATGATATTGTGCCCTTAGTTGTTCCTATGGGTAAGACACTCGCTCCCACTTGCTCATGATAACATTTGATCTATCTCCCGCATGATGTTCACCCAGGTAGTTTTCAGATAATACAAAAGAGACACGCCACAGAATGACCCTGGCTGTTCCCAATAATTATAGCTATATCCGGTGTACTTTATTCACTCTGTAATGGACGCTATCGTAATGTTCAAAAAAAATTATCGCGGAGCAAGTGAAGTGTGATGGACTACAATAAAAAAATTACTGATGGAATTCTTCAGGCACTTGTTTGTTTAAACATGTGGTTTTAGAAGGCGTGTACTGATTGAAGGGAGGTAACTCAATCTGTTTTTTTTAATTTGAGACATTTTCTTGGTTCAAGTGCAACACGAATTTCGGGTCACAAGTGTCTTAGATTATGGCGAGTTTTTTTTCAAGTGACAGTGATATTGGCTTCCGCACATAATTCCTTTTAGCATTCATTCATTCATTCATTCATTCTTCATTAATTATTTCATTCATTCATTCATTCATTCATTCATTCATTCATTCATTCATTCATTCATTCATTCATTCATTCATTCATTCATTCATTCATTCATTCATTCATTCATTCATTCATTCATTCATTCTTCATTAATTAATTAATTCATTCATTCAATCATTCACAGATTCAAACAATTACGTCATGATGTTATTTTGTAAGATTTCAACCTTCGTTGATATTTAAAGCAGATTTTCTCCCTTATATCTTTTTTTGACGATCAGAATTCTTACCCTGACTAACCCGATGTAATTTCTAGTATTAAAATGAATTATTTAATTCATTTATCCACTCATTTATCTAGATGTATCCTCCTTTCAACAATTGTATTTCAAGTACTATTTAAATGTCAAGAAGGTAGTGCAACACCCTTAAAAACAAAGATATTTTAATTAAGAGAATAGTTTCATTAATAATCCATTGATATAGTAACATTGAATGTGATGTATAATTCAAGGGTTGAAGGGACAATGCGAAATAGGCCAAGAAACGTGAAACCTATATTTTTTAGCGTTAAACTGTATCTGTGTCACCAAATCACGTTGTTTACCACGTGGCGTGTACACGCTTCTGCAACGTGCCCAGCAGTCATCACATTTTCGACAAACTATAACAGGACTGAAAAATTTAACTGCAGGTATAACATGATTCATTTTTGAGAAATGTACACCTTTTTTTAACAGAATGTCAATCAACATTTTACTTGAATGAATGGGGATGAGGGCAGCCACAAACCTGATTTATGTTTTTTCTGTGAATAAGTGAATTATGCCTGTATCCCTCTTTCAGAAATGTGGTCTTTGTTACTACAGAGCAATCGTTATTAATTAGATAAATAAAAAAACAAACAAAAAGAAAAACAAAATAAACAAATGCAACAGCAGTGAAATGGTTTGTGGTTGATGAATTAGAACACTCCCAGGACATGTATATAATGCCCATTATACAAAACGGTCATGATGTATGTGCGTATCATATTTTGATTACTAACCTGGTGAGAAGAATGTTATGCGCTAAGCTTAAAATACACCTGTGTCCTTGCGGAACACTTTTGCACTGATGTAAACCATATTAAACATTTTCACATGTAAATGAATTTTTCAGCTTCACTTTTACTAGCTCTTTGTAGAAATATGAAAATTCATGCAAACAATTTGAGTATCATTATTGCTTCTAGGATTATTATATTTGGCTTAATCTTTTTTCGTTCTGGTGTTTTATTTAGAAATAAATACTGGTTAAAGTTATCGCCGTTTACGATTAAGCTGAAGAAGCTTTGACACAGCTGTGCGATGAAATGAACATCGCCTGTCATATTGCGCCCCTCTTTGCCTTGTATAATTGTGTCAGAAGAAATGAACTTCTGAACAACATGAAATATACACCATCAGTTTTTAAATAGGCATGTACACTTCTTAAACACGGAAAGCATAAAAATTTGAACAAAGAACATACGTCATCCTCTGTAAGTTACCATGACAACGTTACCAGACACCGTGGACCATTTTATCTACAGTTTATGAATAAATCTGATATAATGTGTGGATTATTACGAGTTTTGTCATTGCCATCGCTATGGTTTCAGTATGAAATTGTTATCCATAACGAATTTCGCTTGATATCCATAAATGTATACAAGAAGATTATAACAGAATTTACCTGTTTATCTATAAATGATTCTCGTGTCCATATGCATACGTTGCAATAGTTATATTCTAAATATGAACACGTGTTTGTGTCAAGGACAACTGTCTACAGGATCATCTGGGTGTAGATACCCGACTGAGTAATGACAATAGCAACAACCACGTGCTCAAGGTCAAATTTCGGTGAGCTTCCGCTGCACACAAATTACTCTTAAGATAAAGAAAACATTGACTACTACAGGTAAAGTCGATGATTACATGAAAGGTGTGTTCGCACTTCGGTTGTGTTCTGTGCCGCTACTCTAACTATTCGCATGCCACTCGAGCCACTGAACCTCTACCGGCTATTCCATTCTTAACAAAATAATTAATTTTCACCAATGAGAACTCTTTGTTAATTACTTCATGCCGGGACGCTCAGGTTATAAAATCTGTAGTGAAATATACACGAATGATCTGTTACTTATATCATCATTTCGGTAAATGTTTGGAAGTATCCTGATTACAAGTCACAACTTTCATCATATTTTTCAACAATGATATTTTTGTTACGTAAATAAGCTTTTTGACACAAATTTCATGAACGTTTGTATCGTGGCAATGTCCAGTTTTCCAAAACTCTTGAATTTCTTGTCAAAAAATTATGCAGATGTAAATAAGTGTACCTCTGCCCACAATTTAAAGACAAGTTCTGAGGGAATCTATTTAGAAAATACAATGTATTTACCTGTGATCCCTAGTTGTAATTTTGAGAAAAATATAACAGTTGACAGCAAATTTCAGATATTTACAATGAAATGTTAGCACTCGTTCACATCAAGTGATGATTGAGTCAGTAATATAATTATTAGCAATATATATTAAAAGAAACAAATGCTTGGTCACGTGTTGTATCCAAGCGGTAATGAATGACACCTCAAAAGTAGGCCCATTCACACTCTTACCATCATGCACACTATGCCATCATTCATAACGTTGGTACCAATGATTTTGGAGGAAACCACGCAAAATACTAATTAAATTTTGAAAATAAATCTTTCCTACGTTTATTTGCTGATGTTAGATACTTTCCTAAATTTTCAGTTTTTTTAATATTTTCCAGTTGGAGTAACTGAATGAATTTAAACAGAATAGGCTTATTAAATTAATATTGCTTACTAAAATTGGAATGAATATCTGCACAAAACTTACATTTAATAATAAAATGATATTTATCTTTTATATCGTTCTCATCACATAAATTACATTTCGTTTCTTCATGTTAAATTGATGTTCAACTTGTAAAATTCTGTATGACATTTATATCGTTAAATGAAATGGGTACTGTTTTTATCGTCGGTGTTTCAACGTATCCATCTTTCCCCTCAATCACAATTAATTCTGTTCTGACGTATGTGTCCTCAATAGTCACAGTACTTTGATTTTCTCTCCTGTAGTCTCGTTTTCACAACGCTTTTGTTTGTTTAAAATAATTTTCTCTGAAAATAGACTCAGATAAATCCTACTTATCGATATCGTTCATTTTTCAGGGCTCTTTATTACGAATTTCACTTCAATTACTCCTAACTTTAAAACAATGTTTAAAAAATGCTACTGCTAGAGGTCAAACCTGTTTTCTGCTGAACAGTCCTAACCGTACAATTGAAAACTTGAAATATTAGAAGAGATTTGTGAAATGTTTTAAATGCTTTATATGTTGAAATATCTTAAATATATTTTTTTTTATCATACACTTACACCCAGCTGTTTTCAATTTCGAAACCGACAGCAAAATCATATGTATATTTGTTGGAAATCTACTATGACAATTAAGTCTAACTTTATTTTATTCAGTTTTTTCCCTGATCGGCATATTGCATTTCGTATATCCGGTGTCATTACAGATCTGCTGGATACTTCCGATAAACAATCTCAACAATTCCAGAGCGCTATTGAGGAGAAGTACCCGGATGTTCCTCCAGTTTACGACATCAAACAATTATATGAAGAACTGCTATTGGCAGATATTTCTTGGAAAAATAAAGAGGTTAATAACGGGTCTCATGCCGCCTTACATTATCACAAGAAAAGAGATATTACACATTCAAATGGGGACCAACCAAAATACTTAAAAACAGCGCATGGCAGTAACCATGGAAATGATTCTGATTCGCACGAGCAAGGTCACGGCCACCACGAGCACAGTATAATTGAAGATATTGCGCACGGACTGCATAAAGCCAGCATTACGATTCTAGCTATCTTAGTAGTGGAGGTAATGTACCATTTTGCGATTTATGGTGCATGATGTAATAAACCTACAGTATAATAGAATTTAGAGTTATCCCGCCTGACTTATGTTACAAACTAGTATCATCACCATTGCATATTAAAGATTAAGATCGAGATGCCAAAAATATACAGATTAAAATGACCTGATATTAAACAAAAATGCAACTTGTCAAATTTTAGTTTCTAAATCTTTCGTAATTAATAGAAATTTACATAATGGGAAAGAAACCAAACACAAAAGGTAAAATGTTTTCCATCGACTTAATTTTTTTCAATGTGTGATTGTAACAGGAAGAGCCTGTACTATAGTATTTCAAACCAGAAATTTTAGGATGAATATTGATTTCTGCCAATGTAAAGTCAATTTATTCTTGCAGACGGGAATAAAAGTATTTTGTGAAGGCAGGCGAATTTTCGAGAGAAAGGTCGAGGTGAGTATATATAAGTATATGATATTGAGATGATGATGTTATGCATCGCAGTAAATCTGCAATAAGCCCGGAGTCCTTTCTAAATAATTTTTTTTCCAGGTTTTTGACAGCATAATTGTGGTTGTGTCATTCACCTTGGATCTGGTCTTCATCAAGGGTCTCACCATGTTTCCTATCCAGAAATACGTCTTCATTTTGGCATTTTTGGTGCCTTGGCGTGTTATTCGGGTAGTCAACAGTACGTGAGTGAATAACTTATACAATATCTGACATAATTCTATTGTTCTATGTTCTCCGTCTTTATTCCTCAATGCATGTAAAAGTTTTTTGTCACGTGGCCTTTAAATCAAGATATGGTTCAGTAAATATCATCATAACTATGGAGGAGTGGAAATGGAAGGCGTAATGTGTTGCCTCTGTACCTAAGGGTGATAACTCTGTATAATTAATAGGTCTACGGTTGAAGGTATACATCCAAATAACGATGTCTATTTTCCCCCTAAAGGTCTTATTGTCGCAGTAATGGACCACGGACACTTTCGGTTAAAATTATTATACTCTCAAAAGAAAAAGATAAGTGCTTCTTTGAAGTCGACTAAACAGGAATTAAAAGCCCTCCAGGTAAGTGGTTTTGTCAAATTTGTTTATTGTTAATTTATTTGTTTATTTGTGTTTTTTCATCTTTTGCACGACTAATATGACGGTTGACGTTCATGGACGAGGAAAAATATTTTGTCTCGTTTTAAACCTTTCTGTATTTTAAGTACACTCCTTTCCTTCTCTTCATCGGACTTTCTCATCTCTTCTCACTTTTCCTTTATCATGCTCTCTCTCTCTCTCTCTCTCTGTCTCTCTCTCTCTCTCTCTCTCTCTCTCTCTCTCTCTCTGTCTCTCTCTCTCTCTCTGTCTCTCTCTCTCTCTCTCTGTCTCTCTCTGTCTCTTCTCTCTCTCTCTCACTGTCTCTCCCTACCAATGTATTATTAGTCCACAATTCACACGTGTAGGGTACCATGCCTCTACATGATGGTGATATATATTTTTCATTTAATAAAAATAAGTAAATGTTGATGGTGTATTCCAAATTATCATAGCAAAATCGACTACCATTTTAGATTTAAGCGATTTTTATCGTCGTCATTTACATGTCCCTACGAGCATGAACCACACATCTCAATTGTAACTGTATTCACGAAGTGTTCGTGAATGGCTGTATAATTATGCCTCGCAGTAAGTAGATGACTACCCAGATGAAGTCCAATTTTATCTACATATTATCTCAAGACCAGATCTCGTACCATCGACTCACTCTCACGTGTTTTAAATCACCTCGTTACCCTAGCTAGACAAAGACATCAGGACACTACTGACCGCGGTCAAGAGTACCGACAAAATTTAAATGAACATTTTTAAGGTTTTTATAACTTAAAATTAGCTATTCATAAGACATTAAAGATATCAACCCAAACTAATACGAGAAAAAAAACTAAGATAAATGCATATTGAGATTTGTAAATTTCCCTGGAGTGAATTTCGGCGTTTACTTGACGTCTCGGATCATTCGCAATATATGCTTCCATTAACGCGAACTAACGCACAAGCGCACTACTGACTGTTCGAGGAATGGACGTGGCGCCCTCTGTAAATTTTTGAACTCATGTTCGGCCATCTGTTGGCTCTAGAAATCCCAATAACTTCTCCTATAAATCCAGTAAAAATTCGGTATTGAGCCCCATACGGGTGTGGGGAATCCTTTCAGTGGGTCAGAGAACCCCTATTACGACCTACGTAGGTCTGTACATTTCCTACTATACGTCTTCTAGATATCGCCCCACAAGCACGTCCGGGTAAGTGGTTGACTTGCTGAGCCTTAATCCGTTTTCATCCGACTGGACTGGGAAGGGGACCCTGTCGAATCCTGGGATTTTTTCCCGTTCGGGTTGGTTCGGAAATGTCTACTCACGATCAGAGTTGCGTGACACGACGTTCCTTGCCTATAGCGGTTTGCGTTTCTCGGGAAGCTGAAAAACAGCCCAGTATGTGCTGACGTGTTGAGTCCTTGGGCAAGACACTTAAAAATAATTACTTTGGATGAATTGTCGTTCAGTGAGGTTGTTATCAGCTACTGCAAGATGACCCCTCCTCCAAATGACACTGGCTGGACAATTAACCCAGAAAACAAAGTTTCGGTGACCTTTAACCCCGAGTAAAAGACATTTCCAGGCTCCAGAACTATTAGCTGTTGATGTTCAAATTCATCAGTATACACTATCGATAAGAGCATGACTTATTTACTTGCCTTTTTCATGTCAGCATAGATGATTGGGCGTATCTATAGTTTGTATATACATTATAATTGTGCTTTACTTCAAGGGCCAAAATTAGAAGATTCCTCCAAAATAGTGGAAGTAGGCATACATGCAAATAAAATGTACGTAAAGTTTGTCTATTTAAATGATTTTGTTATTAGACCCATCAATTTTACGAATATAATGCAATGACTCGGTATTCAAATGATTGACACGCCCTTTTCACACTGCAGATGGGTATGCAAGGTGTCCGGAAACTGTGTGCAGAGGCTGGAATTCCGGAATGGAAGTTCCAACAAAGCATAGGTAATATACATTAAAGTTCATATGTATATCTATCATTTCATTTTACAGAATTAATATGATCCATGCATACTTTATATTATCTATGAATTACTGATTAGCCATGTCATCATTGCCACTGACGTCATACAATCAGATTAACGCGATACTCCAATGATTTTTTTTCTTTAGATTGATGATAATCTTTCAAAGCGAAGTGAAATAAAAGGGAGATTTTTTTATACTGATATTCGAAGTTTGATTGTGGAAATTTCGACACGAAATTACAGGATGAAAGGTGTCGTTCCCAATTAGAATCGACATGAACACTGAATGCCAATTTAAAGAGGTTAAGTAATTCTCGGGTACTTCAAATGGACACGTGAAAACGTAAATTCACATTATTTTCTTTTACAGTTGGTGAAAACAACAATCATACTCCGTCCAAGTCCATAGCTTCACTCTTTGCTTCCTCTAAATTACCCATGAAACGTCGTAGTAGTGACAGCAAGCAAGATACCAACAGTAAAGGTGTTTACAGATCCTCCACATCTGCGATTCCGCAAAAGGGCGGCGATCCGAACAATCTCGAGGAGTCGGTCAATGACAACATCACCCGGAACAGCTCTAGCGTTGTCACGTTCAATATAGACGAGTCAAATGAATCTACAGGACTCATGAATAATGATGAAGACATCAACTCCCACTGAAAATATTCATAGACACATTTTCGTAAATTGGAACAGTTTCGTAACCTGGTAACAATGAACGGATATTTCCATCTCGTCCACCAAGCCGCTCAAACACTTTGTAATACTCTCTTGGCGTAGCGTGTAATGACAAGAATCTGGTTAAGCGAGACTGATTATCTTTGTATAACGATGTTTAAGACGCAATTTTGTAAGCCAAGTATATCTGTGACAAAATGTGAGGGTCATAGTCTGGAAAAAGTATGTGAGATTAATTTGTTTGCTGAAGGAAATTTTTTCATATCTATATTTCAGTGATTTTATCGATTCTACTTGCATTCTATCGAAACTAACACCACACAAACTCCACTCAGCTCAGGTAACAGAATCAGAACTCTCACTTTCCCGTTAGCCGCTCAAAATGCAGGAAATGGAGCCAAATTTTCAAAATTTTCTGGGGGAGACCCCTCGCCAAAGCTTCGCGCCTTCGGCTTCGCCGGCGTTGTCAGATTTTTGCCACCCCCCCCCCCCAACTTTAGATCCTGGCTACGCCACTGACAATGGTGTAATTTACTAGGCATAGTTCAGGCTGTTCCGAACTGCATCAAATCAGTGAAATTTCATACGCCCCGTATACTGTATTTAGAAGTCATGAATATATCTTGAAATATATTAATCACCACATTGAAGTGCCGGGTCCCATAAACTCTGAACTTTGAACTCCACTGGTGAGGTTAAAACTGGTAGAAAAACAGATGAAATATTTCAATGTGTTGATATTTATAACAATTTGTGAACGGCAATTCATTTTTCTTTTCCGAAATTTTATATTAGATAAATGATGATGAAATTGTATTTTAATACTGTTTACTTTTGATGTATGATGTTATTTAGTTATATTTTTTATCTCGCGCTGGATATTTTCGTTCATCACTGACGCAATACAATAACAGGTTTTGTTTACCTATACAGAGACGTGACGGCACGTAATCCATATATATCTTGTAATCAACTCACAGAAAAAAAATAAAAATTTCGAATACACAAAACATTCAGAATTATTTATGAGATAATTAAAACTCGGATCAAAGTCTCAAATTTATAGTACACACGGTAACTGAGAAATGATAAAAGGGTAATTTTATCCTTTACGACATTAAAAAAAAAAGAAAGAATTAGACCACTTTTATAAAAATCAAACAAAAGCAGGCAAGGAACTAAAGGACGACACAATGAAAAGCAAAATCGTTATTTTACCTCCGAATAAAATGAAAATAAAAATTAAAAAAAAAAAAACACTTGCGCCAGTGACGTCATTGGTGTAGATTTTCATCTTCCATAGACCATTAATTACGCTGTAAATGTTGGTAGTTTAATATTAGATGTACAGACAGGAATGCCAATGTAGCTCACAGAGAGACGAGACTTACAGTGAAATTGATTTCCAGAGAGGCACAGAGGTAGTGTTATGAAAAATAGATATCTGGTATTCTTTGTAAGATGAAATAAGGAATAATCGCGGGGGCTGCATGTATTATTGGCCATTTTCAGAGTGTGATTTCAAAACAAATCACGTGACTTCCCATCACGATACCCTTAATTATGGCCTCTGGAAAATGTTATTTTTTACCACAATTTTATTTTAAAATCATTGCCAATAATATAATTATAACTTAATACAATAAAGACTTCAAATATCGGATATTTATTAATTTGTATTCCTTTGTGACGAGTTGCCGATGGGATATTGAGAACTGCCCGTTATCCTACGGCGTCCTTGCCTTTATTTTATATCCAATTCCCATCAAAATGCAAACACTCTTAACAATCATTACGTCTGCCCGAGTTTTTGTTAGGTCACTCAAGCGTCAATATTCAGATTTTCGTAGCTCTATATAGAACTTCCGACATCATCTTTCTGTCGAATTTATTTCCCGATCAACAAAATATTTCAGCTGTAATTTCTAACCGTAGTTTCGTAAATCTGGGAAATCTATTCTTTCGGCATGATATGGCGTGACCATGGCCTATAGTTATTAACCGTCATTCCCGAAATTATTTGTTTTCCGCTAATATACACTTGCCATATTGAGATGTAATTTGGTATGAGGAGACGGCCAATTCATTTTTTAAGTTATGAAAATGGTTTTAGAAAACCTAAAGAAGGGGGCGGATGGAAAGAAAAATATATATGACAGAAAAAGTAGGACCAACAGCGGCTAACCTTGCCACCGCGGTGAAAGTTTATGGAATATAACCCGAGTGAATACAGGAATATCTTCTTATGAAGTATTGGTACGGACCTAAGTTTGTGTCATTTGGGTGTTAATCTTGACATTTAATCGCCAGTTTTATTTTATTTGAGATGTCGCATCAACGTTTACGAGGGTTTAGAGAATTTCGACTCTGCTTGGCTACGAACCTCGAGACTCATGAGAAGGCAGGGATTTCCTTACCGGAAACCACAACGGTAACTCTAGTACATTTTCAAACAAAGACGGATCTGGGCCAGGAGTTCCGGAATTATATGACATTATGTTTGGTACTGCCCATTATACGAGATGCACACAATAGAGAATAAGCAGGTGGATCTAGAATTCCAATTGTATTGTCTGTACCAAGTCAGCTTCAGTCAACATACACCTGACACATTTTGAAAAGTTATGAGAACACCAATTTAAAAGTCCTTGACATTAACTAAAAAATACTCCACAAACTTCATCAATTGCAGGAAAAATTACTGTCATTAAAATTTGTTGCTTAATTTAGTTTCGTTATAAATTCAAAAAAACCTTTTATGCCGTTGTAGTTTTGGGATTTGGGGCTGGGGTGGGGATGGAGGTTGGGGTTGAGGTGGGGGTTGGAGGTTGGAGATTTCGAGGATGGGGAAAGGGTGGAGGGAGCTATATTGTTATCCACATCCGTCCTTCTCCTATCCCGCCCCGTTCCGAATCATTGATTTCAAGTTCAATATCTCGTCAGGTTCCGGACTGTGTATAAGGATCGGGGCATTCATATCAACCACATTCACAGAAAGCGAACTAGTGAGGACACATGTACTGATAACAGCCACCGGTGGTTTTATTTATATAATATGTTTCTAATTTACATTTTAAGTAAATATACTTTATCCTCAATCAGAAAAACCCGGACTTACATTCTACGCCGCCTCGGCGGAGACCTGTATAAACATAAATATATGGATCTCCCTTTTTTACAATAAAAGCATGCTTGATACATAACCCTTTTTTGTCACATTTTGTCCTTTATGTAGATGATGAATGGTGTGATATTTATAGATATAAACTTCCATTTTTAATTGTGAGTAAAACAAACATAAAAAAGTCATTTAAGAAATTTTCAATGGGATTGACACCATAAGATTGTGCATATGTGAATTAATTACCAAAATATCCGGATGTTTTATCGGTACTAGGAACAAATCTGGCTGGATCTCATAGTTTAAGGGTTATAAAAAATCAGGAAAAAAGTTATGAGATCTTTATGTTTATATTTACATAAATCTGATTTACAAACATAAATGTCAATGTCATGACCACGCTCATGTTTCGTGAAATCTGTTTACTTTTTTTATTTTATTATTTCGACGATATTAGATTTCGTCTCTCTCTAATCACTGTGACGATAAATATCAGGTTCTTTTGATTAAAAAAAATATTTGTTATTCACTAAGTTGATATATGGTGTGTCGTGGTTGTGTTCTTGGGCAAGACACTTTCCTCCCAATCACTGCGAATGACAGGCGACGAGCCTTCCATATGTTGTTCAGTAAGGTGGTCACCATTGACTACTTTGAGGAGTTAAGAAGACCCTGCCTCAAAATCATTTACCTAGCTGCTGATAGGGAGATAAACCCAATAAGCAAGCAAACAGACAAACTACTGTGAAACATACAAACTCACATTCTAAATATTACTCAAAGTTAAAACATGGAAAAACAAATAACAAATAAGATACCGGAAGTGATGTCACGTGTTACATTTAGTTGGTTCCGGTAGCTCATCTGGTACTTGTCATTTGACACTTTGCTTTTTAAATAAGTTATGACGTCAATCAGATATGGATTGCATACTTTGCCTTCTGTTACAGGTTTAGATATCAAAGATACTTTTGATATTTTTTTTTTCATTATACTTGTGAATTTTGCCATGTAACGATGATTATGATTATCGGGGAGATATATTAGTGCAGTGAGGTGTTAGCGCCTGGTTATGTGTGTGTGACATTCCTGTGCTGAATATTAATCCAAATTAAGTACTTATAGACTAGGTTAGGAACAATGGAGATTAAACTAGAGAGTTTTTGCAGTGTCAATGTACATGAGACATGCAGGCTGCAGGTGTACTGAAGACTTGGCAGATAAACTGATACGTTATTGAGTCTTAACAAACCTCGCCCCTTTGTGTAAATTTAAAAGGTGTTTTATACAGTCAAACACTTTTTATAAACGGATACAAGATGTTTTGTATATAAATCTATATATTTCGTAAAACGGTCTTTTCAATTTTAGTTATGATTTGATTCGACTTTTTCAAACGTTATATTTTCGATCAACATAAAAAGTACTCAGTATAGTTTGGGAATTACCAGTCCGAAAATATTATATTATGAGCCTAGATTTGAAAACGGACGCTATCAAGTCAGAAAGAATACTATAAAATCATTCATTTTCGTGGGTTTTTTATTTTCGTTGATATCGGGATGATTTTAAACAACGAGTGTATATGTCCCCAAACTATTGGAATTAGTTTAATTAGATTTACTGAGAAGTATTTATACGTGAGTCAAAATGTACATGAATAGCAATATTTTGAAAAAGCCATGGAAAATGAGCCTCGTGAAAATATAGGAGTTAACAGTAACTGAAATGTCTTGGCGTCTTCTTAAATTTCAAAATATTGAAGTTGTGATGGATCTTCACGTTTGTAGGCTCCGATCACAATATCAAACTATCAATATATATCTTGTGGTTGTAACCACTACAATGTCCGTTCTGTTAC